CCCCAGGCTCGCGCTCTCCTGCTCCCGCGTCCGCCGCTCGCTCGCCTCCGCCCTGCTCATCCCCGGCTCGCGGTCAGGCCCCGCGTCTGTCCGTCCGTCCGTCGGTCCCTCTGTCCTGGTCTCTCCCCTGCTCTCCGTCGCTCTCCCTGCCTCCGCGATTACAATTTCTAGTCACACGGCAGTGCAGAGCCAAGCGGAGCCTCGCTCCCTCCCTCCCCCGCCCTCCTTCGCGCTCCTCCGCGGGGGAGGGCGCTCTCCTCCCCCTCCTCGCCTCCCCTCCCCTCCCCCGCTAATCAAAGGCTCCGTTATCTAATTAACCCGTTGGTTCTGGGCAGCCGGGGAAGGTCGGGGGAAGCGGGGGAGGAAGGTTGGCGGCTGCGCTGCCCGGGGAAGGGGGGGTTCGCGCCGTGCCAAGCCCCAGCCAGCTCGCGGCGCAGCCAGCCTGCTCCTCCTCGGCGGCAGACCCCGGCTGCCCTGACCCCCGCCGCGGGCCAGAAGCGGCCCTGCCAGCCAGCGCCCGCACCTCTCCCGCGCCGCCGCAGGTGCTCCCGAGCGCAGCAGCCCCCAGACCCCGACTGCAGCGCGCAGCATCCACTCCGACCCCCGCCCCGGGGAGCCAGCAGAGCGGGACCCATGTGCCCGGCACCCTGTCCTTCAGCGGGGGCTCGGCCCCTACTCGTCCCGCGCAGAAACCTACTCCCAGCGCGCCCTCTCCCCGGACCTCAGCCATGACTGACACCTGCCTCCCGGTCGCTTCCGTGAGATGGGCAGGGCGGCCACCATCACTCAGCTGATTAATCTGTCCGTCTCTCCGTCCCTCCCTCCACCCCTGTGTCCGTCCATCCGTCCCTCCATTCACCCATCTGTTTCCCCCATCTATCCCTTCCTCCCCCCTCCTTCCGCCCTTCTTTCAGTCCTCCCTTCCTTCTATCCCTTCCTTCCATCCTTCCCTTCCTCCCCTACCCATCCATTCACCCTTCCTTCTGCCCACCGTCCATCCGTCCATCTACCCGTCCGTCTCTCCCTCCACCCATCCTTCCGTTCATCCCTTCCTCCATCCGTCCATCCACCCATCCATCCATCCTTCTTTCCTCCCTCTACCCACCCACCCCATCCATCCATCCATCTATCCATCCATCCATCCATCCATCCAGGAAATACTTATAGAAGCCCTGCTACTGGCATGTGCCAGGCCCTGGTGCAGATGCTCACCAATGCCACCCGGTGGGCTCAAAGGCCAGCACACCCCTGGGCCACTGAAGGTGAACGGCAGCAGCACAGCGCCCTTAGATGCCCCGGGGCCTGAGTTTGAATCTTGCACCTGCGGCTTATTTGGCAAAGGACGGCCTCTTTCTGCTGTCAGCCTCTGCTCAGAGGTGGATGATAACAGTCTCACCTGAGGGCCGCTGGAGGGTCAGAGTCTGAGTGCTCCACAAAGGGCTCTGGTGCCCAGCCCAGCCCTGGCCCAGGCTGGCTCCCCGGGCTGGACAAACAAGTCCCCAGCTCCCCTCCTCCATGGCCCCACACTCCTACTTTCACCGCCCCTTTCTGTCCTCAGATGTTCAAAGGGGTCCCCTGAATCCCGCTCACATGAAGAAAGGCAAAGGCTTCTCCAGGGTTCCCAGTGCCCCGTGCCTCAGCCCAGTCTCCTGCTTTGCCCCTGCCCATCGGGCTCCCCATAGTGCTTCCCAGGAGGACTGTGCAGGTGGCCCCAGGGCCTTTGCACTCGCTCTTCGGCTGCCTCCCAGCTGTCCCCTGGGCACACTCCCTGCCTCCATCAGGACTTTGCTGCACTGCCATTCTCAGTGACACACACCTGTGAATATCAGAGGGCACCCTGTCCCCCTCCAGGCCCCCTCTGCTTTATTTTTCTCATGACACTTCCTCCCCTCTACCCACTTTTGTGCCCATACCCTTGAATGGAAGCTCCCAAGGGCAGGGCTGTGATCACGGCTGGGCAGCAGGCTGCACGCATGTCCCGTGGCTTCCACCTATGTGCCCTGCATGTCCAGTGCATCCCCTCCTGCACTCCCAGCCCAGTTACTTGGGCAGCTGCGCACCACAGGGCCACCAGCCCCCAGGAGGCCTGCCTGGCAGAGATGCCATGTCTCTGCCTTCAGCAGGCCCCCGTGTCCCAGGTCTCCATCCACGCCACGGTGCCACCAGCTGGCCAAGTCCCACATACTAGATGGGGCCAGCCCTGACACCTGAGCCAGGGCCCGGGTGCCGGGCAGAACCCCAACCTGGGGTGCAGGCTCACACCCCCTGAGTCCTAACGGGGGTGCCAGACACACTCTGGTGCTCTCCTAGGGAGCCGGCCCCACTCCACAGATGGGACCTGAGGTGCAGCCTCTGGCCAAAGGCCAGCAGCACTGGGGAGGGGCCCAGGGACCCCCAGCGCGTCGTGACTGCAGCAGTAAAGCCGCAGAGCGACCCGGCAAGCCTTTGGCAGGAGCAGCAGCAGCCGCCCTGGTCCCCGACACACAGGGGCCACCTCTGCCGCGCCCAGCCAAGCCTGGTCCACTTCCCTGGCCTTGGGAGGGCGGCTCTGTGCCCGAGCCCCTTCACAGCTGGGCTGCAGAGTCGCAGGGCTGGGGCTGCTGGCCGAGGTCAGGCCGCCTGAGGGACAGGGCTGAGCCAGCCAGGGGATGGGCACCGAGGCCAGCACTCGCCCACGTGGTGCAGGGAGTGGGCGGAGG